TACTATCTCCCAAGTGTGAGAGTTTCATAGTTTGACACATAAATTTCATAAATTGAGAAGTTACAAAAGTGGACACCTAAGATGGGTGATAAAGATGATTGACTCAGACATTTTCCCCTTGAATACTTGATATCAATATTTCCAGCATAGTATTCATTGAATGCTTATTCAATCATGATTGCCAATTGCTGTACTGTAACTGTAATGCCCATCAGTTCTTTAAAGTTAAAGGAACTGTTAACTGTTGGGCATTACATATTTTTATTGAGCCTAGATCCTGAATAGTGAAACAAAATAAAATATTATTAGATTTATAGTTTATAGTAAGGCATACATAATAATAATATCGACTATATTATACCAGTATTTAAATTTAACTACGGCACTACTGCTACGGTAATACAGAGCATTATGAATACTAATAGTAGAATTACAAATTACCGTAAAGTAGTATACCCAGAGTCAGAACACGGGAGTGCATAACTAATAAATAAAAACTAACTAAATACGGTTATGTCAGGCTCTCTACAGAACGGATAAAAATAACTTAATCATATTGGCCTATTTAAAATTAGAAGGCTTACTCCGTAATTAAATGTAAAGTGAACTTAAGAAGTCTTTAAAAAAAAGTTAAACGCCGCCTAGTCCTAGCTCTTCTAATAAAAAAAAAATACAAGTCGCCTGCATACAGTAAAGCTACATAACAAAGTACGCTAAGCTTAGTCTTGTTAGACAGCGCTCAGACGAGTAGTTTTCTTTTTATGATAATGGTTACCCAACAATTAAAAACTAAATTAAAAAGATATTTACTAAATTTTACACTTTGCTTACCCAAACACTTCAAATATGTCTTGATTGGCGACGTGAATAGAAAATAAATATTTCTGGTCTATCGAAGTAGTACGGTACTCGAAACGCGTAGTGTAAAGCGCATGCGCAAGGGGAAACCTCTAGCTCTCTGTCAACAGAAAGGCTAAAAATAGACGAGATCGGCGATTAACGTCCATTTTCAAGGAATTTTCCTGGTTTTTCGCGAATTCTGTTGCACGTTGATTCTTTAAAAAAAAAAAAAACCAGAAAGAATCCGTATTTGAATAAATTGAACTGGCGAATCCGGAAATAGAGAATATAAAAACTCGCGAATCCGGAACTGACAAATATTTAGCCTCACGAATCCGGAATTCCGGGATGGCCCGGAAAAGTGGCACCCCTGATTATGATTGAAATTATTAAGATGTTTTTCTAGGCTTTTTTCAGATAAAAGAGAAAATTTTCTATTGCAGAACTTGGTGGAATTCCTTCCATCAAAGAACAAGGAGGCACGTTTGAATGTAGATACAAAAATGGTTTTGAGTAATTTTAATTTATAATTAATAATTACATTACATGCAGAGAGAAAAAAAACTACTTACCTTTTTATAATTATAAGAATTTATTTAAAATTTAACACAAGCATATAATTAGTTCAAATCCAATAAACAAGTTATTTTTTTTTCTTTGTTAGTATCGGTATTGATTTTTCCATTTTTTCTGTTCACATTTTTCTTAACATACCCTTAAATAAAACAATTTAAAATAGAAAGTACTGATGTTATTTAAAAGTTTTTTTGTTCATTGTGTTGTATGTTGCATTAAGAATGTCTCCTGAAAATTTGGTAGCATTATCTTTTAAAATAAAAAAGTTTTGGGCAAAATAAGGCAGAAATTTGGAAAGTGGGTCACACATTTTNATCCAATAAACAAGTTATTTTTTTTTCTTTGTTAGTATCGGTATTGATTTTTCCATTTTTTCTGTTCACATTTTTCTTAACATACCCTTAAATAAAACAATTTAAAATAGAAAGTACTGATGTTATTTAAAAGTTTTTTTGTTCATTGTGTTGTATGTTGCATTAAGAATGTCTCCTGAAAATTTGGTAGCATTATCTTTTAAAATAAAAAAGTTTTGGGCAAAATAAGGCAGAAATTTGGAAAGTGGGTCACACATTTTCACAGTTAAATACAAAGATAAAGAAGAGGGTTTTAAAAAATCACTAAAAAAATCATAACTCCACTTCTACAAAAGATAGAAAGATGAAATTGGTGTTGTTGTAAAGCTTATAGCTAGCCCTTTAAAATGATGTATCATTCATGGCAATTGGACAATATTTAAATTTTGTGTCAAAGTACCTACTTTTATAACATATCTTTGAAGAAAGAAGAGTTCTTCTTGATTTACCACAATGGCGCAGTGACAGACAAAAGATTCATGAAAATGTGCTTTTTAGATCTCGTACAACTTGTTAAATAGTTGTATTAAAAAAAAAAATGGTATTTTACTTTAAAAAATACTTTCAATGTAGTTCCATCAGACAAAAATGAAGTTTTTAATTTATTTCACTAGAAATAATTAATTGCGCTAAAATAAGGGATTACCTTTTAACAGCTTTTATACCACCTTGAATCCCCAATCAGCACTCCCATTCACAAACCACAAACATTCCTGTGTAAATCCTGATGCAGAAGGCCAGAAGGGGAAAACTTTTTTATTGCAGAAATACGATATCTTTATTAATAGGAAATAATAGGATCAATATGATGAGTGTGTATGTAGACAAAATAATTGTTATAGAGTACTGACAACTTTTCAACTGATTACAGTAGCCCTAAGCCTAAATTCTTTTATTTTAAGTCAGTCTGATCTAATCTATTCAAATTTAATAATTTCAAGATTCATGTCCTAGCTGCACATAATTTTAAGCTAATAAATAATCTTATTAGGCCTAGTTAGCCCTATTTGTTTAATACACAAACCAACAATGTGATGTAGTATTATCTTGCAAGACAGTTTTTATGTTTGAGTAACTTAATATCTGAGAAAGAGGGAACAATCCTTTTATAATTTTAATTGTTCCCGTTTGTTTTGTTGGCTACCATGAAAGTTGATGACCTCAATCGGGAAATTTTAGTTATTTGTCTCACTTCCGGATAAGTTTCCTTAGGTAAAACTAAAATCAATCTCAATATTAACGACACAAAGATTAGCCTACTTGTTTTAAAGTAATGTTGTTCAATTAATATTTTAAAAAAATAACTCTCTTGAAAAAAAAGAAACATTTAATAAAAAATAATTCATGAATATATTAAAAATATCAAATATTTTTTTAGTATAATTAAATTTTACTTGTAAGTTGTTAGATCTACTTATTACTGACTCAATTAAACTCAAACAAACGTACAATTTCATTTTTGACATCATTTATGACGATATTTTATTTATATCTTTCAGAATATGCCTATAAATAAAAGGCAAAACATTGATTTAAATTTAAGTGAAATTGATTGCTTTTCTATGACATTAAGTAGGTGTAAGGCTAAATAACTTCACTGCAGTACGTGACGATAAAAAGTATTGAAAAACGTGCACTATATACGTACCAGTAGATAATTTTTAATTTTCAACTGCTTAAACATAGAATTTAATTCTACACCAAGATTTGATATTTGCGGTGCGGTTTTCTATCAACATTGTTTTGTTTTTTTTAACGGAAAGGAGTTAACTTAAGACTTAAGGTGATGGCTACTTCTGAAAAACGTTTAGACCAGAAAAGTGAAGAAATTTCATATAAAAGGGCTCCCGCAACAGTATCTGAAGTAATTATATATTTAATATAATTTAGAAGTTATTTAAGAATAAATACTAAAAACTATTTGTAATAATAAGAATAAGAAATGTAAATCCTTTTCTTTTGCTGCCCACGGATACTACTTCCCACCCAAGTGCTTTTAAAAATTTTTATACAGTTTTTTGTGTTGTTTTGTTCGCTGACGAAGGCTTTCTGCCGACATGTTCGTTGTTTTGTTGCGTTTATTTTTGGCAGTGTCTACACGTTCGGCGCGCCGGACGTCTATCTCCCGCACTATGTGTCCGGCGACCAAGTCACATGACCGCCGTAACAAAGTGGCGAGAGATATCGTGTCGGTCAGCCTTGTCACGTGACTGCGAATAATTCAAAACTATTGTTAATTTTAAAATCTATTTCTCTACCAAGTAATGTACTGAGTATCTTGAATGCAAATAATAGAAAAAGAAACTTAAGTGAAAGTGGCTTGTAAACATTTTTGTTTAGTTTGTTAGATTTTGTGTACCAGTAATCCATAAAATAAATTAGGGGCCAGTGTGGCAACCAATAAAAGTTAAAGATTTCATTTTAAATTATTTCAATTGCTACAAAATATTTAAAAACTTCTCATGAAACTACTGTTGCTGAGGAACATGATAATATAAATATATACAAAATATTTTAATTAAAATGGGAAGAAAAAAAACGACCCTATCCCCGGTATAGATCCTCAAACATTTCTATCGTCAAGCAACCACTCTACCACAAGACCAGACAAGATGTACTAAAGCGTACTTCGTTTGGAATTATAAAAACTACTAGCCGTCCGGCCATGTCCGGCGGTCACGTGACAAGTCGCCGGACGTGTATCTTGCGCACTACACGTCCGGCGCGCCGGACGTGTAGACACTTCGTTTATTTTTTCAGGTTTAACCCTACTTTGTTTTACTCATTTTAATTTTATATATTTGTGCTAACCTGATTAAAGACTCTCCCTTTATTACCCTTGGGAAACCCAGGTGCATGGTAACCCTAAATACAGATTATACTATGGTAATATGATACTGATGAGCCAGACTCAGACACCATCTTTCATTTTTTAAAATGTCAAAACTTTCAAAGGATTCTATTAATATTGTCATCAGGAGAGCTGAGTTAAATTCACTCTAAATATTTTGTGAACAAATTATGGATTCACCAGTCTGTTAAGTGATAAGTTTGTATGTTCCTGAAGGAGTTACTGAAGAGCCACTATGAATATGTTAACTTCCTCATGCTACTTCCAAAAAAAAGTACACCATTATTTGATATCACTTTTGCCACTTTTTGAATATTACCAGAATATATATATATTTAAAACCCTAGCTATTTAAAACAAATAATACCATTACCTTAACAAACAATCATACATGCATATGTATAATATTTAGTCACAGAAGACCTGCCTAAATAGGAGCCAGAATGATCAATTCATTGATCGTGGGCCCTCAAAACCTAGAAGAAGATATGTGTGTCCATGAAAATTCACCACTTTGGAATCAATATTAACGGGAAAGTTAATCACTGCTGTCACAACATATCAACTTGATGCCACCATAATTGATGTAACAACTTTCAATGAGACACGGCCGCCATCTTGAAAACAGCTGATTTTGAATAAGTGGTAAATTCAGAGAGAGCGACCCGCGTTTATTTCCATGGCCGCCATCTTGGTTGCCTCGACCCCCGCACTTTTACGTGTTCACGGGTCGAGGCAACCAAGATGGCGGCCATGGAAAAATAAAATAACTCACGTTTGCTAAAATTAAGAAGAAAACGTTAAAAATGTATCAAAAAATGTCTTATATCGATCCCTATGCCTAACCTGAACCCTAAATTGATCCCTATGCCTAACCCGAACCCTAAATCGATCCCTATGCCTAACACGAACCCTAAATCTATCCCTATGCATAACCCGAACCCTTAATCTATCCCTTTGCCTAACCTGAACCCTAAATCGATCCCTAAATCTAACCTGAACCCCAAAGCCACAAGTAAAAACACGTGGGGTAATTTACAAACTGTGGCAGAAAAACGATCAAAATTAACCCAAAAAATGTTAAAAAACTCCCAAAATAATTATAACATTAAGAAATAATGAAAATCCAACTTACAGTTTCATGAAATACACTTTTACACACTTTATTTCAGGTTCCAAAGAAAATATAGCCACAAAATGAATAAATCTCCACACCCCACAGGCACCCCAAATATATCAAACATGGCGGAACAAAAAAAATATGATAATGAGCCAACCAATCCAAATTTTAAAATTATAATTAATCAACCAATAAAATTTTAATTCGGAAAATGTAACTCTATTAACAAAAAAATAATAAGTGGAGTGAATCCAAAACAAAGTCGTTGTGGGCAGCTAAATCTGAAACAGCCGAATAAGTTATTCTCTTCTGTCACTGCTTTTGATTGTCATAAATTATATCACTGCTCATGAAGGGACACAGTAAATGATGTTACTTGCAAAACTAAGACTTTGAATAAATGTATTTTGCGAGAGCAGACCACAACTGCTTTTAAAAAGTATTACTTCATCAATGTCACCATAAATTATGTCACTGTTCTAAATAATAATCATTTTATTTTAAGTGACTATTTTATTTTAACATTCACAATAATCAAAAGAAGAAATATATAATTTCACATAAGATATACACTTTGAATCACTTCACTTAAATTGCAATTTCTCTAATAATTTCATAACACCTTTCTCTTCAAAATCTAATTTACAGAATCTTGATTTACAATCACAGTTTTGTGACATCACCAAAAATAAAATCCAAAAAAAGTCTCAAAAGTAAAAATCTATCATAAACGTGATAATTCCATGAAATACCCTTTTAGTATCTTTATATTGTCTGACGACCTGAAGGCAACCTTGAATTAAGAACATGTTGTCTGCACATTTTAATAGAAATGTTGAATTTTATTGTGTTTTTTTTTGTGTAAATCTAAAAATATAGACAGATAATTGTTTCGGTAAATCTCACATAATGCAAATAATGTTTTTTATGGTTATTTTAAGTTTATTTTACTGCAAAAGTGAAGTATTTGTAATTCTGTAAAAGAATTGGCATAGTTCTATTTTTGATTGCTTGCATTCAGACATGTTACATCAGTTACAAAGTCATGTTTCGTATGTTACATATTTTGTCTGTATTTTAAAAAGAAAAGTGCTTTCTAAGTAGTTTTTAAAGGTTTTCCTTAGAAAAGTGAACACTGTAAATAATTATTTTGAAAAAAAAAATTTAATTTAAATCAGATTTTAGAAGAAATCAACAAAAAAAAAGATGCTAATTCAAATATTATGTCCTTTTCATGTTAAGTCATTTACAATTGCAAAATTTAATATTTTTACTATTATGCTTAAAATATTTATATTATAAATGCTATTTTGTTACTTAACACCCACAACCATTTATAGTTAAATTAAGCACACTTAATGGTATTTTTCATTTATACTGGAGACAAATGGAAATACCTCTATAATTAGTGGTTGCATGTTCCAATACATTCCATGTATTTTTGTAATTATTTCTAATTTTATTCTTTCTTTGTAAATTTTAATTCATTTGTGAATATTTGTTTAATTTTAAGCCATCATAATTTATGACAACATTAACATCCTTAGTAGAGGAGTACAAGTTTTTATTAGCTGAAATATTTTTAAAGAAATAAAAAATGGTTTAAAGTTATACTTCTGCCTGATCCTGACAATAGCAATATTTGGATCCTCTCCTCTCATTGTCTTCAGATGGTACAAAAAATCAATGAGACCTTCAGGTTCAGGCAGCTTCAAACCCACCTATCTCATGTTGGACTAAACCATATTCCTGAAGCCAATTTTGAACTTGCCCTTATATCCTAGAAACCAAACAAATTCTCAAGGGTACTTTTACCATCTAGAAGAGCTTAACATATATAAGTTACAGTGTGAACACAGCAAAGCAGCAGGTGAAAAAATCAAATAAAAAAAATGAAGAATAGAGCTTAGAACATGAAAAAAAGTATATCAAGAAATAATACTAACAAGAGAGGTACAGAGACAAATAAATAGTAGCAGTGAAATGGTAAACTGACAATGTCATTAATGCATCAACCACATATTATACTTGGAGCGCATCCCATTTTTTCTGTATGTATTACAATAACATGTAGTGTTAAATCCCATCCATTTTACATGGATAAGCTATTCTGCCTTTGAGGCATTCTTCTTTTTTAAAAATGTCAACTTCTGGGTGACAAGTAATCAATAGCCAATTCATAAAAAACAACATTTGCTGAAATTCACCTTTAAAAACATATGTGGCAAAAAATCATTGGAAGACTTTGACATTATGGGAGTGGTTGGAAGGATAGCAAGATTAGAATTTAAAACATTATCACAGATGACTCGCCTTTAATTATGGCTCTAATTGTTCATTTAGATTAAATGTGTGTAGAGCTAAAGTCTTTAGACCTCAGGATACATATTGATAAACCATGATGAATACTTTGCATTAGAAATTGTTTTAATTAAACAAATATTGTAATTCTTTGCTTTGCAGCTGAAAGAAAAAAAGTTTTCCAACAAAGAAAGTGAGTAGGCCTAACACAGAATTGTATGGAGACATCTTTTATTCTTTGAACTAGTTATCCTATAAGTAGACACAGGAGACATTTGATGGGGGAGAGACTCAAATTTTTGGTAAAGATGTGGGGAGTGAGGTTGGGGGGGGGGGGCTGGTATAGTAAGGTTGGGAGATTTTGGCTCAACAAATCAGAGCATAGGAAAAATTAATTTAACAGTCATAAAATCTAATTCTGTTTCTCTCATCGTATGGCCTCTTTGGTAGTCCATTGCTCAAGTCACATTTGAACTGTTGTAGTTTAAAATAAAAAATAAATTTCAAAATTAACTGAAAATTTCAGGAGTGATGCATGAAAGTAAAATATTAGCTATTCAGAAAAAAAAAACAACTTAGGAAAGGTTTGGAAACTATTCTATATAGTNGGGGGGGATGTAGGGAGGGAATGGAAATGAATATTTTTCATCTATACAAAACATAGATGGAAGATTGCCTTATATCTTTTGTGGTGAAATTGTGAAGAGAGTTTACATCTCTATGGGGGTGAAATTATTTAATGAAATTTTTTTCTTATGTTGTTATTTAAGTAATTTTACATTAAAAGAGAGTAATTTCATTAAAAAATTTGAAACATTTTGTATTTCTTTATGACAGGAAAGGCATATAAGCGGAAATGGAGAGAGGAAAAGTTACTTGTTCAGATGGAGAAAGAAAAAAAAATCAGATTAGAAAAGGCACAGCTGGTCAAACAGGCAGAGGAGGAGAAAGAGAAAAAAGACAAATGTGGTCGGACGTACACAGTTTCCATTGCACTGCCAGGATCCGTTTTAGATAATGCTCAATCCATGGAGCTGAGAGCTTATCTAGCAGGACAGGTGAAAACAAAGAATTATTTGTGAATTCACAGCAGACTTGCTGCCTTCTGAAGTTATACTCCATTGCATTCTGTGACTTGCAATGAAAGCACTTAAGAGATTCAGCTGTACATGGTGTTTGGTCATTAGATTAGTGGGAAATTCCGTTGAGTGAATTCTTCAATCAGTTTTGTTTCTATGTCCTTATTTTTGCAGATTGCTCGTGCAGCTGCAATCTTCAATGTTGATGAAATAGTTATTTTTGATGAGATGAATGAAACAAGGTGAGAACCACATTGAAGTACAAAAATGTCAGGGTTTTTTACAGCTTTGGCTGAAAATTGTATGAAAAATGTGTATTTCCATTAGGTAAAAGTATTTGTCTGATTTTGTCTACTTTGTGAATAATTTAATTAAGACTAATTTACATTAGCATCTTCCAAAACATGACAGATAACTGTATTAACTGAAGCACTGTTATTAAACATCCTTTCTCCATGCCCATATTGCATAGATTATATGTGATTTAAATTGGAAGGTAAATTAATTAGTTCTTGATGCAAATTCCATTAACTGACTCATTTACCCAAACACGCTTTCTGTGTCAGGCAAGACAAGTCTGAATTCAGTGGTCTGAAGAAGCCTGGACATGGTAACACTCAGCTGTTCCACATCCTGCAGTACCTGGAGTGCCCTCAGTACCTCAGGAAGATGTTCTTTCCTTATCACCAAGACCTTGTGCATGCTGGTATGTGACATGATTTGTTATGTGTACTTTCCTTAGACCTTGTGCATGTTGGTATGTGATATGATTTGTTATGTGTACTTTCCTTATCACAAAGACCTTGTGCATGCTGGTATGTGATATGATTTGTTATGTGTACTTTCCTTAGACCTTGTGCATGTTGGTATGTGACATGATTTGTTATATGTACTTTCCTTATCACAAAGACCTTGTGCATGCTGGTATGTGATATGATTTGTTATGTGTACTTTCCTTAGACCTTTTGCATGTTGGTATGTGATATGATTTGCTATGTATACTTTCCTTATCACAAAGACCTTGTGCATGCTGGTATGTGATATGATTTGTTATGTATACTTTCCTTATCACAAAGACCTTGTGCATGCTGGTATGTGATATGATTTGCGATGTGTACTTTCCTTATCACAAAGACCTTGTACATGCTGGTATGTGATATGATTTGTTATGTGTACTTTTCTTATCACAAAGATCTTGTGCATGCTGGTATGTGATATGATTTGCGATGTGTACTTTCCTTATCACAAAGACCTTGTACATGCTGGTATGTGATATCATTTGTTATGTGTACTTTTCTTATCACAAAGATCTTGTGCATGCTGGTATGTGATATGATTTGTTATGTGTACTTTCCTTATCACAAAGATCTTGTGCATGCTGGTATGTGATATGATTTGTTATGTGTACTTTCCTTATCACAAAGACCTTGTGCATGCTGGTATGTGATATGATTTGTTATGTGTACTTTCCTTATCACAAAGACCTTGTGCATGCTGGTATGTGATATGATTTGTTATGTGTACTTTCCTTATCACAAAGATCTTGTGCATGCTGGTATGTGATATGATTTGTTATGTGTACTTTCCTTATCACAAAGATCTTGTGCATGCTGGTATGTGATATGATTTGTTATGTGTACTTTCCTTATCACAAAGACCTTGTGCATGCTGGTAGGTAAAATGACTTGTTAGCTTTGTGACTGAGACTGTAATTAAAATAAAATTAAGGGAATAAAAGAATCAATTTTTTCCACAGTTAACAAGAGTATATTTGCTTTTTGGTGTTCATAAATAGTTTACTGGGTAAAAGGTCTAAATTGAGAGATACTATCAAATCCACTGCTCTAGAACACCTTGGACCAGCAACCCGCAGAAATAAAGATTTTTTAAAATGAAAATGATAATGAGATACAGTCACTACTTAATGATTAACACCAGGGTCTGAGATCCTATCAGAAAGGAAAGATGCTTTCAGAAAAATAAAACAGAAACTTTGTGAAATGCAGGACACGCGGCTCAGCAGGAACACTGATGAAATTCAAGGCTATGCTATAGTCATCATATAAAACTTTTCTACGATGACATAAAAGAAGTCTACGGTCCACAGTCCTCAGACCACTTGCCCATCCTTAACAAAGATGTACTGGACACATGGCTCAGCCGGAACGCTGATGAAATTCAAGGCTATGCTATAGTCATCATATAAAACTTTTCTACGATGACATAAAAGAAGTCTACGGTCCACAGTCCTCAGACCGCTTGCCCATCCTTAACAAAGATGGAATCCAGTTACTGACAGACAAGAGTCATAGTTTAGAAAGATGGGCTGAACACTCTTGTCAAGTCCTTAACTGTCCGGCTGCTACAAAAGATAATGCCATTGCTTGTTTCCCAAAGGTGGCGATCAACAAAGAGCTAGACAATAGTCCCAGTGAAGATTAAGTTGGGATGGCAATGCAGCAACTCTCTTCAAAGAAAGCCCCAGGACAAGATGCAATCCCTGTTGAAATCTACAAAGCAGGATAGAAAGACTGACAGAGCTATTTGATCAGATATGGAAAGATGCATGGTACTGTGCCTCAGCAATTCAAGGATGCAAATGTAATACTCATATATAAGAGAAAGGGCAGGCACCAAAGCTGTGACAACTATGGAGACATTTCTCTCCTTTCCATAGCTGGGAAGATCTTGGCCAGGGTCTTACTGAATCATTTACAACTACACCTTGAGCAGGGACTACTTCCTGAAAGCAAATGTGGATTCTGTTCAGATGGGGATTCAGCTGACATGATATTTGCAGCACGCCAGCTCCACGAAAAATGTCAAGAGCAACACAGCGGTCTGTTCATCATCTTTGTTGATCTGACCAAAGCATTTGACCCAGTCAGTAGAGTTGGCCTGGAGAATATAATGAAGACGTTTGGCTGCCCGAATGGATTTAATACAATAGTATGTCAACTCCATGATGGTATGATGGCCAGAGGGATGGATTCTGAAGAATTCTTTGGTAGCCCCAAAACTTTTTTTGCATGGTGTTCTCAGCAATGCTGACTGATGATTTTCTTGTTAATAACAACAGCATTCCTATAAGATCCAGGACCGACGCAGGGCTATTGAAAGGGATGGTTATTCAAGAGCTCCTGTTTGCTGATGACTGTGCCCTCAATGCAAGCTCAGAACTGAAAATGCAGAAAATACTTGATCACTTTGCAAAGGCTTGGGACAACTACTGCCTTGCAATCAATATGAAAACCCCCAGAAATCTTGCATTATCCAGCTCCAAGAAAAGCTTACAAAGAACCTAAAATGAAGGGACAGAATTTCTAGGTAGTGGAAAAATTCACAAATTTGGACAGCACCTTCTCCAAGTCATTAAAAATAGATGATGAGATTAACAACCAAATTTTCAAAGCAAATGTTTCATTTGGAAGGCTCAGTAAGAGTGTTTGGGAGCCAAGGGGTCTCAGTCTTGTAACTAAGCTGAAAGTATGTAGGGCACTCATAGTAAATCTCTCCTTTATGTGGACAGTGTACAGCAGACATGCTAGACAGCTAAACCATCTCCATATACACTGTCTGCATAAATTTCTTGGCATCAGTTAGCAGGACAGAGTACCTAATACGGAAGTCCCACTACAAGCTGAATTTATAAGCATTCACACGCTCCTACAAAAAGGACAAGACAGATGGGCAGGGCATGTTACAAGAATGCCAGAAAGCAGACTTGGTTAGCTGTTGAAATTCCTGACCTTATACAAAGGGTGAACTCGCCAGCGGGAAATGCTCAGTTGGTGGGCAGAAAAAATTGTTCAACAACAGTCTGAAAGCTTCATTTATATTCATGGACATCGACCTTCATTCAAGGGCAATACTTGCAATGGATCGTACATGCTGGTGAAGCAGACTCAGTGTAAAAAAAATCCTTAGGGAATATATGCACCGGTTACGCCCAAAGAAAGGGCATGGAAAAAAAAAGGAGAATCTACTCCAGTCCAACTAGGACCTAAAACAATGCAAGTCCAATGTGCCTGAAAGCTTTCCAGGCACAAATAGGACTGGCAGCCACCTGCGTACTCACAGTAGAATATAGCCTTGGTCATCTACACATGTGAAGGATGAACAACGAACGAACCAGTTAACAAAATGTGTTAAGGCTTTAAAAAAAGACACCATTATTAAACACCATATCATAAAACAACAAACACCATATCATCTCACAACAAACACCATAGTTAAATATTATACTATTTATTTATTTACTTCACAAGTCTTGAACTCAGTCCCCTACGAATATCAAAGTTTATTTTTTATGTTCCAGTGTAGAAATAAAATCTTAGAGAAAAAATTTTAAGCTTATAAATAGAATTAAGTTAATAAATACATTAGCATTAGACCTGGGAACAAATGTTGGCATTGTCTGCCTCACAACCAGGCAGTTCAAGAACAAATGTTGGCATTGTCTGCCTCACAACCAGGCAGTTCAAGAACAAATGTTGGCATTGTCTGCCTCACAACCAGGCAGTTCAAGAACAAATGTTGGCATTGTCTGCCTCACAACCAAGCAGTTCAAGAACAAATGTTGGCATTGTCTGCCTCACAACCAAGCAGTTCAAGAACAAATGTTGGCATTCTGCCTCACAACCAAGCAGTTCAAGAACATATGGCGGCATTCTGCCTCACAACCAAGCAGTTCAAGAACAAATGTTGGCATTCTGCCTCACAACCAAGCAGTTCAATAAAACAAATGGTGGCATTCTGCCTCGCAACCAAGTTGGTTCAAATGTGTTATCATCTGACAGCTCAGCATGACAGATATTTGTGGGGTGGTGGTAAATCCTGAGTAAAAAACCTCAACCACTGAAGCCAAAAGACCTCAACCACTGAAGCCAAAAGACCTCAACCACTGAAGTCAAAAGACATCAACCACTGAATCCAAAAGACCTCAACCACTGAAGTCAAAAGACATCAACCACTGAAGCCAAAAGACCTCAACCACTGAAGCCAAAAGACCTCAACCACTGAAGCGAAAAGACCTCAACCACTGAAGCCAAAAGACCTCAACCACTGAAGTCAAAAGACATCAACCACTGAATCCAAAAGACATCAACCACTGAAGTCAAAAGACCTCAACCACTGAAGCCAGAAGACCTCAACCACTGAAGCCAAAATACATCAGCCAGCTTGGTGTAGGATTAATCAGCTTCATAAATATGTTTTAAAAATTTGATAAATAAATCACAAAATTGCCAGTTTTCTGTGCGATATTTTTTGGTATACAGGGTTATACAGGTCTATGAGATTTGTATGTGTTTGGTATACAGCTCTATGATATTTTTATGTTTTTGGTATACAGGTCTATGAGAATTTTATGTGTTTGGTATACAGGTCTAAGAGACTTGATGTCTTTGGTATATGGGTCTAAAAGACTTTGATGTCTTTGGTATACAGGTCTTCTGAACCCCCTGGACATCCCACATCATGTCCGTGAGTCAGATGTCTGTGAGTACAGGGAAGGAATCACTCTGAAAAAGCCAATCAGTGCCAAGAGAGAGGCGACCTCATACGCTAACATTGGCTTGAAAAAGGTACGTTGTTATATGGTATGGTGTTTGTTGAAATATTTGGTGTTTGTTGTTAAATGGGATAGTGTTTGTTGAAAGACTGGCATATGGTGTTTGTTGTTATGCATTTTACTGTGACATATAGTCATTTGAAGTGACATATAGAGGAAATTATGCATTTGGCATTACTGACTTAAAGAGTGCCATAGTTTGTTATTACTGACATGGATAATACCATAGTTTGTTATTACTGACATTGAGAATGCCATAGTTTGGACAGGCCGACATGGAGAATTCCGTAGTTTGTTATTCCTGACATAGCGAGTGCCATATTTAAACCTTGCAGACATAGAGAATGCCATAGTTTGGCCGTGCTGACATAGAGTGCCCTATTATTATATTTTTACATTGTTGGCCTTTTATTAACACTTCAGGATGTGATTCTCAACATGAACATAAAACCAGGACAGAGAGTTACAGTTAAATTAAAGGCACAAAGCACAGGTAAGCTTGGCCGTTGTAAGGTGATGGTAACCTGTATCATTTTTTGTTACACCTCTATAAAATTACAGATGATATTTTGTATGCTACAAATAACAGGTGACATTTGTTGTTGTATTGTGAGATCATAGGAGGGGGCATAGTGAGCCTTATAGAGACACAAACCGGTCGATAAAATATGTTCTTGATGCCAATATATATTCTGCACACATCGCTGACATGCCGTAAAAGGTGACGAGTATTTTCTAACTCCGTTTTTTCAGAGAAGAAAAACCTGGAAGGAGTTGTCGTCTCACCCAGTGAGCCGAGAGAAGTTGCTGGGATTTACTGGGGCTACACCGTCCGGCTAGCCAAGGGTCTGAGTGAAGTCTTCACAGATTCACCGTACGATGGTGGCTACGACTTGACCATTGGTACCTCTGAGAGAGGGGGTGATGTGAACCAAGTGAAGATAACAGAATTCAAGTAAGTCCGCACAAGCATAAAACAAATAGATGATGTCAGTTCAAAGGTCATCTTCTTTGTACATTAAAATCAGTGTTTGTGAAATCTTGGACCCTCACACCCTTATAAACAGTATGAAATTGAAATTGTAGTTTCATATGTTAATTTTTGGGAAGCCATCTCCCATTGTGAGACAGACTAACTGGGGTAAGTTCTTCATTTTAGAAGAAACTTGATGCGCCATTGGGGTAAGAACTGATTGCCTAAAAAAATTTCCATTAGAGCATTTGAGATCATTTTGGCCAGACTCAATGTCTTGGCTGTGCTTTTGTTTATTCCTTGTGTCCTCTATTCTCAGACATGCCATTGTTGTGTTTGGTGGGTTGAAAGGCCTGGAAGCCAGCGTTGAAGCTGATGACAACATCAAGACTGATGACCCCAGTGATCTGTTCCATCACTATGTCAATGTGTGCCCCAGCCAAGGCAGCAGGACCATCAGGACAGAGGTAATGGAGTTTTTTATTTTATTTTGAACCATAACTCATGTACAGATGGTGTTAAGCCTATAGATTATTTTGAGACATAAACTAGCGTGCGGCAGTAAATTAGCTTTTAGATTCTCGATTTTGCTGTAGCACAACAAATTTTGGGTCCCTATCAGTTATAGCTCAGTCAATGTCCTTGATTTATTGATTATTGTTGCACAACTTACTTTAATTTCCTATAAATAGATTTGCTGGGTTTTCATTTCATTCTTGCTACTTTTCCTGAACACCGTTTACTTTGGCCCTTGGATTGCGTAGTGTTAAACGACATGTTTAATAAGTACCACGCCAATGCTTATGAAATGGCACATTGTGTGGCTCTACAGTAGTCAATCCCAGTACATGGAGTTTTTCTATATTATTTAAAGTAGGTTCAGTCATACAGGAATGTATTCCTTGTTTCATTTACAAGTGAACATTTTATTCTCTTTTAGTTCATTATTTGAACGCCATAATCATCCTATAAATTATAAACCTTAAAAAATAGTGGCTTGCTATGAGACTAGTTTTCAGCTTATTTATAATATATTCAAGTTCATAGCTATTTAGATGGGAAAGTTTTGTTGTATGGTATATTGTCACCGTTGATTTATCTTACATGTTGTGTTTTATTTCTTTACTTGCAGGAAGCTATTCTGATAGCAATGACATCATTGTCACCATTACTTACAAATAAATTATTACACTAAAGTGATATGTGTTGGCTTACATTGCTTTTATGTTTCTGTCATTGTATGTATTTTTTTGGTTTGAGATTTGTTTTTTTAAAGATGTCAACATTTGCATCGTATACAATTGTTTATATTGTGCACTTTTTCATATTGTACACGTTTGTTTATTTAGTGCAGTTGTTTCATTTTATTTTGTAAACAGTTAATTGTCTATAGCTTAAATTTTAAACTGTTTATTTAATCTGGTTTTTAGCTTAGGTATGACCTACTTTTTGTATAGAAAGATTTACAAAGTTGTTGAATGGCTAACTCAACGGGTTAGAGAATGTAGGCCAGCAGTAATTTTTCCTACTTGTTCCATAGAAGGCAAAATCAACAATTGAAATTTAGAAACAAAAAGAAGCGGTCAACTTATGCTTTAAGGGGTCGCCTGAATAACTATGGATGAGTGAACTCTCCTTTGTCTAGTCGCGGATTGTTACTGGGTTAAGAGTGAACAATTTTCTTTTTTATATTCATACGCTGATGGAGTATTTTTGATTGATGGCTTTTTGAATGAATATTTCATAGCTAGGTGAATATGTCAAAAGGAGGCTATTTTAATGATATCATTTCAAAACAAGGCTATTTGCCAGGTCATGTGAAAAATAGATTTTGAATTTTCTGACATCTTTTGGATTATATTTTTGATGGATCCTGTAATAAAGTGTGTGAAAGTGTATTTGATAAAATTGTAAGTTAGGTTTTCATTACTTTGAACATTTAAAAAATAATTTGTATTCAAACTTATGATTTTCTCATGACAGTGTGTCACTGCGGCACACGAACATGTAGTTTTAAGGTCATAGATTTTAGGTTTGAAGATTTAAGCTTGAGTTGGGTTAGGGGGAGGGGGGCTAAGTTTAGGATTGAAGATTACGCTTGAGTTAGGAATACTGACTTTTTGGGCAAGGGATACCAGTACTGATTTGTGTGCTCGGGACATTTAGCTTTCAAGTTAGGCAGAGTGATATGATTTCCCTTATTTTTCCTTTTTTTTTCCTTAATTAGCTAAAACACAATCTCTTCCTTTTCCCTCCCAATTCGCCCCCCCCCCCCCCACCNTCTCCTGTCTTGGCCAAAAAGATGGCGGTCATGTCAAAAAAGGTTGTGCAAAATCACAAACCCATGAAAAGTGGGGCCCCGGATAGCATAAATTTACCAAAGAAGCAATAAAAAAAAAAAAAAGTTCATTCTAAAGTTATATATAGATTTATTTATATATTATATTTGTTAAGATTTAAAAGCAATACAATAAGACTACTTTGACACAGAGCATATTCAAGCCTAAACAAGCAGCTCTCTTATTTCCATTTGCTTGAGACAAATTTAAAAAAACAAAACAAACCCAGCGATAACACATGTCGGGTACATCATTAGGAAATTTATCAAATTGTACATTGCATATATTATATTTACCACAACATTTCTCATTTTTTATCACAATTTCTTGACATTTTTTTACTCTACCGATATAAAAAACATCAAATAAACTATATAATTAATTTGGAATGTTTTCTTAAACTGGAGTGAATAGATGTTTGAGATCTTTTTTCAAATCCATCTACATGGGAACATGGGTCTCCAAAGGTTGTTCCATATCAAGTATTTCAACAAATCACATCACCTCACAAGTATCATACAGTACACAATAAATTATCAAAAATTCCTAATTGTAACCAGACGTTATGTTTGATCCTCTTCAATCAACACAATAAAAACATGACACACACAGACGCACACAATTTATTTAAAATTTTTAAAAATAAAAATTATTTTAAAAAATTATGCCAATGTCTCACCCCATTGTGATATTCGTATGGTTTTGTATTGGAAAAAGAAAATTACAATTTGTTAAGAATGTCACTGTCACAACCATGTAGCTCTCAAAAAAAGAGTATGTTAACTTGTGAAATCATTTCATAAAATTGAATGTGATCTGTTGGGGGGTGTCATAGTGATTGAGCTTGCTTGAACAACAAATATATTCTGTTTCTTTCTGGTTTCCCCATTCTCTCCAAGTTTCACATTTTGCAAGCAGTCAACACATTAGCTTTTAGAAGGAGAACTACACAGAAGGCTACAGAAAGATCATCTATAACTAAAGTGCTTGTACAAAAACTAGTCATATTTATAAATTATGTGGAACAACAAAATTTTTTGTTAAGGGACTTTGATTACCGAACTTAAACAGACAATAACAAGTAATATCCCCTGGTTCTTCTACACACCAGTGAAGCATGTTTTCAAAATTGAGCAATTTTGGAACCAAAGTTTTTTCATCTTTTTTTATTTGCTTTGTAAAATAAATTTTATCTCAGCTTCTTAACTCTTAATCAAGTTTGAAATACAAATGACTGACAAAGATATAAGCCTGAATTATAAATTTAAATGAAAATCAATCAAGCAACCATTCACGTGGGGGAAAGTGGTACCTAAAGTAAAACATCTACAACACAGCCAAAGAAAGATTTATTGGTCAAATGCTAAAAACCTTAACCTTGGCTTCCACACTGAACAGCAAGCATCCTTAAACTCAATTGTTTAACATTAACAGCTAAATGAACTTTAATAATCAAATTTATTTGTTTCTTATGATTATAGTATAGATTTATAATTGAAAAATAGAGTAATTGGTTGTAAAAAAAAATAATTAATTACAATAGAATGTGCATTGAAAATTTGTGGAATTTTAAAACTGTTAAAAAAATATTTTAGAAGTCAAAAAATTATTTGAAATTTGCATGTTCTTAGTTTAGAAAAAACTATGTATATATTTATATACGCCATGACACCTGTGCGTTAACATTCATTTTTTTGTATTTGTATGGTCTAAACAAATAGTGATGTCCTAAAAGCCCTCTCTCTATCCCACCCCCTATCTCCATGCCCACGAAAAGTAAATGCTGCCAGTCAACCAGTTCACCGAAACGGAAATGGAGAAGTTAGAGTTGTGTCTCTTCCCACGTCAGGCGTAGCTTGACTAATGGGCATGTAATGTCCATTTACCCACTGAATTTGGCATTCAGGGTGGCCTTCTCCTGTGGAGTAGAAATGACATAAAAATTAGTGTCATCCATTCAAATTAATTGAGGAGATACAAGACTAAAAATGTTCAAATTCAAGTATTTTTTAACAGCTTTTTTTTTTTTCGGGTGTGGGGGGGGGGGGGGGTGTAATATGCTTAATGTGTTCTAGGACTAAATAGGAAGGAATCAGATTGTGAACATTGACTGCTGTCAATCATATTATTTTAAAAGTGAGCTAGAAAAAGTACCAATGAAAACAGACCACCACCTCTTCTTTGGGAAGATATATTAAAAAAAGGTTCTCATTCTCTGACAGCTTAAGCAAAAGGGGACATTTGAGTTCAACCAAAATATAAACAGATTTTGAAATAAATATCAGAAAAATGTCACTTACGTTGCCAGCCTCATCAAGAAGTTTCCAGACGCAGGTTCCAACACCGAATGAGAAGTTGTCAGCCACTTGTTCGTTGTCTACGGCAGCCTTGTCCTTGGCACCCCTGGCCCATAGCTATTAGAAATATACAATGACATTATTGGATGGCACTAGAACTAGATGGAGAGATTTTCTGATTATTGATTCAGGAATAGATCTAAAAAGCTTCCACATTATGGACTGGAGTTTTTAATTGCTATGAGACTTTCAGATTTTGCGGTAAACATATTGTCTTCATCACATAATTAAATATTGGAGTCCATGACTTGGAAGTAAATGAATGGAAGCCACGACAACAGATCTAAATATCCAGAATTTATGCCTTTAGAAATTTAAAAAAAAACGTGTTAACTATTTAAATTTAATGATATTTTAGACTCCAACCAATCAACTTATACAAAGAACTTACTGTGAAAGTACGGCCAGCTGTAAGTTCAATTTCTTTAAGATCAACCTCAATGGTGTTTCTGCCACCCACAACCTTTACAAGTTTCCATCCCTTCAGATTCTGAGACTGTAAGTGAGAAAAATAACAATTTTGTTAGTACGAGAAATGACAGTTTTATCATTGAAAGAATGATATCATTGAGTTTATGTCAGTGATCAGAAACATGACTTTATAAGATGAGATAAGATAAAATTGTTTTATTGATCCAAACAAATGGAAATGTTTTATGATCAGTGAAAGAAATGGTGGATTTATCATTAACCAACAGTATCACAGGATGACATAAAATTGTCAACTTCTTCATATATTTCAATTGCAACCTATTTTTGCATTATTAATATAAATAAAACAGTTAACCAACTAACAGGAACCATTTTCAAATAACTTCAGTCTAGGAAAAGATTAATTTAAATATACCTGTAGTAAATGTGACATGGTTTTTAAATTATAATAAAGTTAGGATTTCTCTGTTGCAACATTACTTTTATGTCACTCTATATTACATACAAATACAATATGACTTTGTGGTCAGCATACATTACAACATAACTCAAAGTCTGGCTATGTGACAGTATTATGACATGGTTTGCCTATGTTGCATTACCTTGGCACGTGCTCCTGATGTGGTGTTTTCAATAACAACATTGCCACCACTGTGATCAATGCTGGCAAATCCAATTGGTCCCTTAGATGACCTCTGCACTGTCAAACTTCCAGTGGATTCTCTCAGTGCTAGAAGGAGAGAAAAATAAAACAGCTATAGTACGGTATATTATTCTGATGATAAAATATAACATTATTGTTCTTGAAATCATAAGCAATAACTTACTACTACTACAGACAAAATTCTTGAGCAACATTGAAATTGTGTAGAGAAGAATAATGCATGCAAAATCACCAGATGAAGTTTCACGGTAACTGATTTTTAGTTTTTTTAGATCTTTAATTGACAAAATGATGGAGGGCAATATTATGAAGCTGCAAATGTATCCATTTAATCTCCTTACGACAACCCTTGAATTAAGTTATTACTTGTCTATACATTTTTTACTCTCTAATTTTGAGCTTTAAAACTAAGTAAGGTAATAGAAAGTTGACTATCATCCTCAA